AGAGACTAAAATGGTTCTGCAGCAATAGTCAACCCAAAAGAGAAGTCCCCTCCAAATTCTTTACTCATTCTCTTAAATAAAAGTGATGAAAAGTGAAAAAGAAAAGAAGAAAAGTTTAAAGCCATGGTACTATAGGGTCACCATTCCCTAACTACAACTTTTCCAACATGGGGTCTCACCCCCTAGTTGATGCCAGCATAACCTGATGATTTTCCAACATAGGGTCCTATTCCCTAGATGCCAACATAACCTGATGATTTTCCAACATAGGGTCCTACTACCTAGTTGATTCCAGCATAACCTGATGATTTTCCAACATAGGGTCCCACCCCCTAGTTGATGCCGGCATAACCTGATGATTTTCCAACATAGGGTCCCACCCCCTAGTTGATGCCAGCATAACCTGATAATTTTCCAACATAGGGTCCCACCCCCTAGTTGATGCCGGCATAACCTGATGATTTTCCAACATATGGTCCTACTCCCTAATTGATGCCAACATAACCTGATGATTTTCCAACATAGGGTCCCACCCCCTAGTTGATGCCGGCATAACCTGATGATTTTCCAACATATGGTCCTACTCCCTAATTGATGCCAACATAACCTGATGATTTTCCAACATAGGGTTCCACTCCCTGATTGATGCCAACATAACCTGATGATTTTCCGACATATGGTCTCACTCCCTAATTGATGCCAGCATAACTTGATGCCAACATAGGGTCACACTCCCTAGTTGATGTATTTTTTTCAATCCCTAGTTGATTTCATAGGCTTTCCACTCCCTAATCTCTTTCTCCCAACGATGCACAATCCTAATTTTTATTGCTTTCAATAATGAAGTAGTATAGAGTTTTGGTTACAAAAAAAGTCACAAAATTTTCCTGGTAAAAATCGGGATAGAAAATTCCGTGCGTTTGTTTGTTTTGGTGTCTGAACAGGTTATACCTCGAGACACAGGGTTCGAGACACAAGGTTCGAGATGACTAAAAGTAAAAGAAGAAAGAAAAAAGAAGTAAACTCAAAGTGCAGAAGCGGAGAAAAGATGTGGAATGCTTAAGACATGATTGAAGTTGCAAACTTTATATGTCCCACCTTGATCCAAGAAGCTAATCAAGAATGAACCAGCACCTGCAGCTATCAAGCATCAAGATTCGGACCAGAATCTGCGTGAAGAACCAGCCAAGACTCAAGATCAAGCTTCAGAAGATTTATAGATAAGAATCTTGTAACCCATAGCTGATAGATTTAGTTAGTTTAGTTTTTTATTTTGATTTTGGTGTAATAAGGAGCTCAGCAAGCAGTAACAACAACAATAGCAGTGAAATCACAGTTTTCGGTAGTCCTAGCTACCAAAATTTTCAGAACTACTCCAACCTGATTCCTTTATAGCCAAGGATATATAGGCAACCTCCACAGCAAGGTTCAGTCAAACTTTTTCAAAATGTTTCCCATGGAGTATCCGAACAGGCAAAAATCGCTCGTAATTGCTCACTTTATCTTTTCCAGAAAACCCTTCGTGTTTTCGAGCAAAGAGGGGTGTCGCGCCCCTTTTTTCTCGCGAAATCGGGTTTATCGCATGGTCATCATATCCATATCTACCCTTCCCACCCCGTTAAGGTATTTAAAGCGCAGATTGGTCTCGATTACTTATTGCATGGTATTACCCGTCCCAATCCTATCAGTCCCGGCGGTACTTAGGACTACTAATCCTAAAAAAAGGGAGGGGTATTAGGTTTATTTTGTAGTTTCAAAGGTAAAAACTCTAAGACGACATACAAAACACATATTGCACATTTTGGGGGAAAACATATAAACAAACAGGGACTCAGATATACCTCCTTAAACAGAGAAAGAATGTAACATGACTTACACACACTGTTTATGTCTGATTTAAAAGGTATTAAAGACGAGTGACAAGAGGTTGTTGAGACAGTTTCAGTTTATCACGTAACTCAGATAAAATGTCTGAATTAGGCCTGCCTGCTGGTTGTAACAGAAGCAGATTCAGTTTAATTTTTCTAAAGCTTGCCTAGGTGTTTGGACAGGGGTACTATAGGCATGATATCTACTAAATTCAGAAGGTGACGAGCTAGTAAAACTTGGAATGAATTATTCAAAGTCCTATATGCATACTTGTTAAACTAGTTAAGTGAGGGACCTATATTACTAAAGAGAAGCAGAATTTAAACGAATTGATTACAACTTCTGCAAATGATGACAACCATTATTACTGATTTTAGATCTGACATTGAGTGAAGCGAATCAGATTCATTTAGAAACTCCTATAGGCATGGTTTCTAGGCGTTACTGATTTTAAACCTTTATAGACGGGGTACCTAAGTGCAGAACTGTTTGAAACCTATAGACATGGTATCTAAATGCAGAAGCTGTTTAAAACCTATAGACATGGTATCTAAATGTAGAAGCTATTTAAAACCTATAGACATTGTATCTAACTGTAGGAGCTGTTTAAAACCTATAGACATGGTATCTAATGCAATTGAATATGCAGAATTCAGAACGATCCTATAGGCATGGTTTCTATATGTGATTGAATATGCAGAATTAGAACAATCTATAGGCATGGTAATTGAATATGTAGAATTAGAACAACTTATAGGCACGATTTCTATATGTAATAGAATATGCAGAATTAGAACAACTTATAGGCACGATTTCTATATGTAATAGAATATGCAGAATTAGAGCAACCCTGTAGGCATGATTTATACCCTTTGCATGCATAGTTACCCACCCCATTTCACTAGCTAGTTCCAAATGTTTATTACAACTTATTACAACTTATTACAAGCCAGAATGAATAAAATTACATCAAAAATACAAATGAAAGTACAACTAGAGAAAGCCTGATTCTGACTTCCTCTCTGAGTTACAAGATAGACCAACTCAAAGATCATTGATCCAAAGCCTTTTTCCAATTTGAGTGTTTTATAGTTCCCTAAGAGCCTCAATGGGACTCCGGGCAGTACTCACACCCAAATTGTATCACCGGAATGGGAACAAGTGCAGTGTGGAAGGGNTCCCTAAGAGCCTCAATGGGACTCCGGGCATGCTTACACCCAAATTGCATTATCAGGATAGGGGCAAGTGTAGTGTGGAAATACCAGCCCTCAAGTGTCCAAGTTCAGAGGGAACTCAATGGGTCCCAAGGCGAGGCTCACAATAAGGGGGGGGGGGGGGCAGAACTTAAAGTCTAAGAGAGAGTGCAAGAGCAGAAATAGAACTTTAAGAACTAAGGAAGTAAAGAAAAGGGTACTGAGAAATAGCTACAGAATTGATAACTTTGCACAAAAGGGGTCGGGGATTGGGAACTGATTGCAGAGAGCCCATGCTTGGCAAGGGTAAGCTTTGGGCATGCACATCAATGGAGATACTGGCATGCCTATAAGCCTACCAGAACATACAACAACAAAGAATCATAGGGGTTAGGATACCAGGGGGATCAAGCTTGAGTCATGGATAGTAATATTCAGTACTGTCATGCCTCAAGCAAACCATAGTATCAAACACATAGGGGCAGGGGTTTGGGGTTCATAACAGGACAGGCAAAAGGAAATCACATCGTGTTAAAGTAAGTATTGAACCATACATAAGCAGTAGACAAACAAGAAGGTAAATGTGTTAAGTAACACATTGTTATGATTGCTGAAAATCTTAATCAGAACAAACCACTTTCAAAGAGGCAAAGTACAATAAAAGCAAGTAGCCGGACTTGAAAGCAGGCCACAATACAAGTAACAAGAGAGAATGCTTTTTGAAGGTGAGTGTGAGTTTAGAAAACTAAGAGTGTCTGTGTGTGTTGTGTTAATGAAAAGTCAGGTATTTATAGTGTGAAAACAGGCAGAAAAATAAGGCAAGAAAATAATTATGGAAATGTGTACCAATTATAATCAATCAGTATAAGAACTTTCTTTAATTAAGGAGTTAAAATCAAACGGTAACATGCAAGTGCTAAATAAGGAAAGAAATCACGTAGGGCTGAATATTGACCAATAAGGAAGTATCTCAAGTACACAATAGGTAATAGAGGCTAAGTTCACCAGACTCTAATCAAAGAAAGGTCTGTAAGAATCCAATACCAATGTAATCTAGGTAAGGGGATTAATCAAATTGAGTACNAATCAAATTGAGTAGAAAAGGTAGGGGTCGAAAGTTCAAAGGAAAGTATTCAAATAGGTCCAAGAAACAGGGAAATCAATACAACAAGGAAAGAATCAATTACAAGAGTGCAATCAGAATTACACAAAGATGTTTGAAATCAGTCCACAATTAAAGGGTTATTTTGAGAGGGAAATTTAGCATATAAAAGGGTGCATAACATTAGCATGCGAGGCTGAACTCATGACAAAGAGAATAATCACATGACAGTCACATAGGTTAATAGAGAAAAGGGAGAGTATCAGAAACATGCAAAAGGGTCCAGTAGAAAGACCTTTCTGAAAATACAGTCGAGTTTCAATGATAGGAGGAGATCAAAATCACATGAAGCAACAGAAGTTGAAACAAAGATTTCGAAACTCAGTCGAGCAGTAGATGAAACAACTTCAGAAACTCGAATAGGTCCAAAGAGATTAAGGTTTTGAAACCAAACAAGTTCAGAGATGAGGAACAAGCAAATCACATAGCAAATAGTCTCAAAACTTGAATGAACCCCCAAATTTTAGGGTTTTCAC